ATTTTATCTTCTTAACAACTTTAATTGTTAAGATAATCTTATCTTTCTTTCCCCTTTTATGTTTTCCCCCATTTTAATGATTTTCTTTAATTTGATTTCTATTCTTTTTATCAGTTAGAATTAAGAGTTCAACACATAAAGTGTTAATTTGAGTTTCATCTCGTCCATGCTCTTACATTTTAATTCTCACATTTCTTAATTAATAAAACTTTAGTTTTCTTGCAATTTTAATTGTGATTAAATTTCAATTGTAGTAATTAGTAAATTACTATTTCTTCCCTCCGGTGACGATCCTTTCGAATCTGTTTCCTCTGATCTGACGTGGTTGTGAAAGGCAGATCAAATCTTCTGATTAATCAGTGCTAATCCTCTAAGATTATTATCTCTCTTTTCAGTTCTCCTCAATTCAGCTAAGTTATTACTTAAATCCCCTGAATTGAACCTCCTCACTAAGTTGCAGCCCAACAGTGAATTTTGAAATTCTGATAATAATCTTGTCCGACCTTTTCTTTGGTCATTCCTTCCACGTTTTCATCCTTTCAATCGTTTAAAGTTTCTTGATATTGATTGATAATATTATTTGTTATTATCACTTTTGATTGTTGACCAATCCCTTGATTATTGTTTGTGTTGATTGTTTCTGATTAATTCTGACCTGAGGAACCAACACTTGGAACCAAATTCTGATGGTGATTCTGATGAATGATTATCCTCATGAATAAAAGAAATACATAAGATGAATTATTTAGAACTGAATAAATCAACAGAATTGTAAGTGATCATCGTTATCACTCATCTTCTCAGTATCATCATCATTTTCATCACCATGATACTCATAATACTGTTGATCATCATCATCATCATGATAATAATAATATTGAATCTATTAAAATAGAAATACAAAAGTTGATATAACGGTAAACATTAACCGTTAACCTCATTTAACAACCAATGAACCAAACTGTTAACTAAATCATGATGATAATAGTGGAAAAACATTTTATCAATTGACCTTAAAACAATTTAATAATAATCAAACCTAAACAATTTACTTAATTTTAACTCAATTCAATTTACTACGAGAAAATGATTCCAATCCAATTGAACTTTTAGGTTTTGTTTCAATTTCAATTTCATTGACCATCATCATGATTACCTTTATATATATTATATAGCCTTAGGCTATTTAACGATTGATATTAAATTGTTGTGGACAACGTAATCTCAATGATGAGAAGATAAAAAAAATGTTATTAGTTTGATCTCTTGATTGTTATTGTTTCATGTTTATTATGAACATTGTTTACTTAAATCATGATTAAAAAAATATCGACATGATGAAGTAAAAGTAAATCGGTTAATTAAAATAACCCAAAATAATCAAATAATCAAAGGAATATGAGATTGAATCAAGTTCAGAGCTTTTGAAATGATTGAAGGATTTGAATGGAAATCAATGAGAATCAACTAATTAAAAAGATAGAGCATTAAATGGATTGATTAACTGTGTTGAGATTAAAATCAAAGTTTAGATGTTAAATTGAGATTAACAATCGTCATGATTAACCTTTTGATGAAGTTAATTGAAAGATTTGTTGTACCAATGGAACGACTTATCCAACTTAGATTATCTCAATGATCGAGACAATCAATATCCTTTAAGATTAATCCATTAATTGGTATAAAATATGGTAACAAGTAGATTAACAATTATAATAATAACTGATCCAAAATGTAATTTGAATGATAATCGGGGAAATAATAACTAGTCTAACTAATAATCTAATCTAATGGATACTTAAGTAATGTATAATAATAGTAATCAATGATTTCTGATACGATTCTGATTCTGTTTCTGATTTTGATGATTTTCTTATTATCGAATCTCCTCCCAAAGTGAATCAATGGATCTTAGTAAAGGTTATACTTTCTTTTTTTTATCATCTTTGTCATCATCTTTATCTTGACACAAGGGATGAAGATGATGATAAAGATGATAACCTCTTTTATCTCTTCTTCATTTTCATGTTGTGTTTCCTGTGGAGAGAAAAAGAGAGAGAGATCATTTCCTAAATATCAGAATTGGAAAGAAGATGAAGATCATCATTTTTTTCTTATGATGAAAAAAGAAATATCATCATAGAGATATGATCATCTTCTTCAATTCTCCTTGGAACAAATGAGATCTCTCTCTCTCTCTCTCTCTCTCTCTCTCTCTCTCTCTCTCTAACCTATCATTTAGAACCATAGATAAATATTGTTGTTATATCACTGAACTTGCCAGAAGCAAATTGTCATCGTCTCGTTAGGTCAGAAAAGGAAGGAAAAAAATTATTCCAACCTCAAGATCCTCATCCTGATAAATAAGATGATAAGATGATAAAGATGATGGTCAACTGGGTTAACTGTAAAGGTATTGAAGAGGTTAACGTTAATTAAGTTTTTTACCATTGATTATTAAGGCGATTGACCTTAGACATTGAGTGTTATTAACAAAGGATTAATATATATCACAATCAGAATCATGATATTACTATTGTTGAGAATCAATAATATTTTTCATCTCAATTTTTCTCAATCAACATGATAATTAGTTTACGTTTGAATCCACTTTTTCGTAATCAATTTAATAATTAATCAAACGTATCAATAGTCATTTATTAATTGGATTCTCATTGGAACCACTTAACTATTAATGGATGAGAAAAACTTTCAAATAATCTTAAATTTGATATAATTAACTCAAAGTTATCAATATGATTCATTGATTTTTGATTTTCATGTCAACTTATTATCTGAATCTGGATGGAAACGAATCTAATTTCATCAGGAGATTTAGTTTATTCAACTAACTAGTTGATTGATTTAATTGTGTCTCCGAATGAAACAATTTATTGATTGTTGTTCAAAGAGAGGAGGAATAGATATTGATGGCAGTAGTTGATTATATTTCTTTGGGTATTTAATTTATTCGGGTGACAATCAATTCATCATTTAATCTTAATCATCATAATTACGGTTGATTATTGATTAATTTTCAGCAATCAAAGTCCAACTGTTTATCTTGATGATTAATTGTCAACTATTTTTTTTTGTTTCTTCGCATCCAATATAATCTAAATGAAGATTAAATCAAAGTATCCAAGATTAAATTACTACTGTGATTATCGTTATTATTACTACAATCAAGATTATCTATTATTGGATTAAATTAACATGATGAGATCAAATTTCAATCCAATTCAGTTCAATTTTAACTCATTATCGGATCACCAGGATCATGTAGTTTCAAATTGTTAAATTAAACAGTTCAGTTGATTGTTGTTGTTATTATTGTTTCATTGATGTTCAAATTCAAATTGAACTTCATTTGTGTATAAGTTTCAGTGAATGGGAAACGATCATGATAATGAAATTGATATTCCAAATAATAGTTGACAAAAATTCAGGGTAATGATGAACTTATATGTTATTTTAAGGGGTTCAACCTTCACTTGAGGACGAACATTTAATTTCCATCATGAATCCATCAGAATAATCTGGTGAAATTCTGGAAAATTATTCACAGAATTGACCTGGAAAAAAAGGTTTTCATTGGCAACAATTGTTCACCCCATGATCATGATCCATGATAAGGAAAACATTGTCTTGGAAACTATTCTCATCTGCCAACATTGAAATCATTAAGATTCTTATCCTACATGATAATCATTCAGAATTTTTATTCAAAATTGTTTGCAAATGATCATCATCATTATCATCATGATCCTTTTCACAATTGACTCAGTCGATTCTGTTGATCCATGTTTATGTTTACTAAATTGTATCCTCAAGGTTATTCAGTTAATCATGATCATCACAACAATTTATAAATTGTGTAAGAAAATTTTTCCACATATTTAAAATAACTTTTGGCAAACAATATAATCAACCATAATTTTGGCTTCCAAACCTTAACTGTAATCAAACTAATTTAGTTAACCAAATTGTTACAATCAACCTAAACATTTAGCGTAACCAATAATTGTTGAAATGGTTAATGAATATTACTATCAGTCTAATTGTTATGCATCTAAATTGTTTCGATTAAGTTTATCTTTAGATTATCATATCAAGTACAATCAATCACAATCAATGTGAATGATAATTACAATAAAACAAAACCTCTTAATCTCTTAACCTAATTGTGATAATTAATAAGCTTTAAAATGATTTGAAACAACAACAATTAACATCACAACTCTTATGAGAGTAATTTGAATTGATGCCATTAACTAATTAATCACAATTAACCGGCAACTATTAAAAAATGAGCAGCTAAAAAAAAATTAACGACAACAAATAATTTCTTACATTGTCAACAATATGTATAAATGATTAAATTAGACAATCAATCAACTAATTACAATTAAAATGTCATAAAGAGGCATTAAAGTAAAAATTAATCAATTATCATCAAGTTTTAAGTGTTAATTGTATCGTAATAATATTGATTGTGACTTTGATCAATAAGCTTCAATGGTTATAATCAATTTTAATTAAAATCAGTATAAACAGTGATTATAAACCAAATACAATTTAACTCTAATTTCACAATTAACAATAATGATCATAATTTAGTTATCTCAAGTTGTCATAACTTTTTGTTCATCAGCAACATTATTCTGACTCCAATTTGATTTTAGCATCAATTTGACTCATTAAAAGCACAATAAGTAAGAGAGAGAGAGATGATGATGATGATGATGATGAGGAAGATAGTTTTCTCTTTCATCATCTTTATCCTCATCTTCATGAGAAATTCAGTATTCCACTGAACTTTTTCCTCTTTCTTTCTCTCTCTATTTTCAATTGACGCAAACTCATTTCCTGTTCAACTCTCAACTTATCATTTATCTTCTCTTTCTTTTCTCTCTTTCTTCTATCATCCTAATCATCATCATGACTTTCTCTCTCGTCTCTTGTCATCATCATCTCACTCTTTTCTCTTGGTAACTTTGAAGCAAATCGCATGAGAGTTACTCTTATATTCAATATCATGATTCAATCTAATAGTTGCTCTCTTTTTTTCTATCATTATTATCAATGTTATTACCATGATAGTTATTATTAGTTAATTACAATTAGTTAATCAAGTCTCTCTCTCACCAAACCTTTTTGTATGTATATACACTCAAACACCAACAATTAATTGATTGTAACCACACACACACACACATACATAATAAGAGTGACAACAATAATCAACCCAATATGTTTAATCCTTACAATTAACTTTTAAAATTGATTGTGTCACATTTTACAATCTAATCAATCTGATTAAATCATGATCGTGAGAATTGGGATCCCAATTAACCAACGAGCTTCAATTTTAATCACCAACAATTAAAACCAATTAAATTTCACAATTGTAATCATTTCTTTTGGTTTTCTTCAATGGTTAATTCAATTTTTTCATCACATTTTCATCAGTTAATCAACAATTACAATTAATAAATCAACACAAATCTCTGATAGTGATAAATAAATTGTGACAGAAAAACTGGAATAACAATTTAGATGTTAATTGTAATAGTTTTAATCAACAGAAACAATTAATTTTAGTGATAAAATTGTTCAAAGTGTTTTTTTTATTACAATTACGGATTAGACACTGAACTTAAAGTTAATTAACTCGTATTAATTGTTAAATTGTTATCTCACAATTAGCAACTTGTATCATATATCTTGTAAATTATATAAGAAAAAAGTTGTTTCAATTGTAAATTGTTATTTATATAAAATCACAATTAGTTAATTACTAACAGTTATTACAAATATATTTCCATTGGTACTAATAATCAATCAATTTATCATTTTCAACTTTAAATTGTTTATATAATCAACATCATCATCAACATCAACCATAATTTAAACATCATCTTTTATCAACAATTAGCATCAATTCAACCAAATACACAATTAACAAGAAATAAATTGTCACACTAATCATAATCATGGTTAAACTAAGTGATATATTAATTGATTCTCAATGGATCATCTTAAGATTATGTTTCATTTTACCGTTAATTTCATTAGTAAGGTAAGTTAACAATTAACTAACAATGATATATTTTTAGACTATGTGATCAACAATCAACCAAAATTGTCACAATTAACAATTGTATCATTTTATTTCATTTTTTGCTTCTCCTTTTTTGATGAATGAGCAGAAAAAAGTTTCAAAAAATCGTAAATTGTATTAAATTGAATTGAGTATTTTGTGTTTGCAGAATGAAAAATGATGATAACATGATAATCATAATTGTTTGCATCATCTTTATCATGTAATTGAGTTGTCACACTGACGATAATGATGATAAGGTTGATGATAACTCTTAATCTTCATCTTAAGTGATGATGATAAAGACCCAAAGGAGCAATTCTAAGGTCATGTTGTTGATTATGAGAGTAACATTGAATTCAGTTAAGTCTGAGAATCTAAATGTACAAGTATATCCATGTCTCTTCATCTCATCATAAGAAGAAAGAGAGATTCATCTTCTCACCATCAAATGGAAGACAATGATGATAAAGATGAAGATGAGAATAGAAAGGATGAAAAGAATACTCTATACTCTTTGAGAACTTATTTTTCTCCAATTCCGAATAGAATATAACTTTTCAATGGAGAGAGTGGGTGAGTGAGTGAGAGAGAAGAAAAAAAGGTCACTGCCTTTTTCCTTTTCCTCTTGATCATTATAATCAGAACTTTCTTTCTTTCTGCATTTTCTGTCGCCTTGATGCACTATCACCTCCTACATCTTCCTCATCTTCCTCGTCATCATCATCATCATCATCATCATCATCTCTCTCTCTCTCTTTGTTTACTCGTTTTAGTTTTTGCATTTTCTCTCACAGACTCGATTGGGCAGCCAATCAATTGTGTAATAATCTAAAATTCTTGTTGACTTATCCGATTCTCTGAATTTTCAACTGAAAATCTATCGTCTTCCTTTATCTCTCTTTCTTTCCTTTAATATCTCTGCCAAGATTAGAAACACAAAAAAAAACAGAAAGAAGAGAAAAAATCAAGTCACTTTTTCGCTTTCTTTCAATTTTTCATGAGGATTCTTAGAAATGTAAACATGATGATGAAGAGAAAGGAATGATTGAGATTGAGAAAGTAAAACAAATTGGAGAAAAGGATATAAACAAAGTTTCATCTTCTCTCTATTTTTTTCCACAGCTCATTTGATTTAGATCATGTATTTAATTCTGTCACATTCAATACTGATAATAACACTTTCATGATGATATATGAACAAAAAGTTGGTTAAACTCAACCATTAGCAACAATCAACCTTTAAAAAAGGTAAAGGATCAACTGTAGCCAGTAATTGATTACATTGATTACAATCACATATCCGATAAACTCAAAGCTTTATCTGATAATCATAATGATTTCATGAGACATTGACCAATAATAATCAATCATAACTCAAGCTTGAACTTAATTATGATTAAAATTTATCTTCCCCTTCAAATTTTTACTCGATGATAACAGTTATCATAATGATTAGTTTATGTTTCTCATTAATTGTAACAGTGATTGATTTTTATCATTAGGGTTTATTTAAAGATCTTAACAATCAAAATTGATTCCAACACTGATTACTTAATCAATAAGATACAATAATTATTCCCCTGACGAGAATGATGTTGATTATTCTGGTAATCAGACTATTATTATTGGCCAATTGTTATTCAATTGGGACAATAATCAATTGACAATCAATATGGATGATAAATTAAACCAAATATTAAACTTTAAATTGTTACTCACATAACTGTTGTTCACTGTGATAATATGATGATCTGTTCATTGATCAATCAATTATTGTGTAAATTTAATTTTAACCATGATGAATGATGATCATGTTAACCATGATGATTCCAGGCTCAGTTCATGGAAAAGTTTGAGAAAAGTTCTGAGATGTTTTCATGATGATGGGAAGAAGGAGAAAAAATTTGAAATTTCTCTTGGACTCATTCCAATGACCATAATTAGCAGATTTTATCTTTGAAATGAATCTGAACCATTCCAATGAATTGGGATGAGCAGAGTTGATGAAAACTCCATGAAGATGAAACTGATTAGCTGAATGATGATAATCAACTATCATGATAAGTTGAAATATAAATAAACACTGAAATGTTATCCATTTGTCCTTTTCAATGAGATGATCAATCAATCGTATTTATAACAAGAAAAGGAGGGAAACCTTTCGGGATTTTTGTTCTGGGATGAAAATCTCTGAACTTTTTTGAGAGGAAAAAAATTCATCATTTCTCAGAAAATTGAATTCTTTTTATATATTCCTGAACATGGATCGAAAAAAAAGTTACATGTAAACCCAGAATTTTCCGAATTCACCTCAATAACAATACCATGAAAATTGATATTTCCTCATGGACGATGGATGAAATTATTGTCGATATTATTGATTACTATTAAATAAGAAGAACCAGAAAACTATGAGAGAAAAATTCCCATGAAATGAATACTCATGGAGAGAGAGAGAGAAAAGTTCTGAATACTTATCTGATTATCTCTCGATTAACAATGAGAAGACTGAAACATAATCAAATGAAGGAAAAAATATTGAATAACTTTTTTCAATCATTATTTCATTTGCTATTATATACTTGAGATTATCATCAGCATCCTCATCATCTCTTGAACATTATCATATGTTTCAGCATTTTGAATCATGAAGGATGATGAAAATGTCAGAATCAATCATTATCATCAGTTTGATTCATGAAATAAAAAACACAATCAACACACAAGGTTAATTGAATTGTGATGAAAGACACAGAGGGAAAAAAATATAATAACAAGAATCCAATTGAACTGTTTTCAAGTAAATCTAATAATAATTCATTGGGTGTGTTTCAATTGAATTGAATTGAATTTCATGATGATGATGATGATGATTATTATTATTTCATTTCAAGGTGAACCTTAATGTTAACTCAATGAATTGTATGTTGAAAAGTGTTTAATGATTTCTGAGTGTTAATGATTTAAAGTGTAACTGTAACACCAAACCAATTTGATAAAATATCTTTTTCGGTAGCAATCAATTTCCAAACCGATTTCAATTATCATCAACAATCATTTAATCACCATCATGACACAACTTAGATTTCATGTTAAATTAATATAATGATAATTATTTAATGCATTTCATGATAAATTATACAATCACTTGTGAGATGTGAACAATTTATTCATTATTTTTGTATATAAAATCCTATTGTTATCTGAATCCTATGATATATATATTGTGACTACTCTGTGGCTTCATGAAAAATTTCAATTTCTGAATCACCATCATGGTGAAATAATCATATTTGAATGTTAATGACATTTCCATTCATTCAAATATATATAATATTTTTCCCCTGGATAAGCTCAATGTCAATATGATACAACAATATAATAACAATACAGAATGATAATGATAATGTTACACAGGAAAAAAGGTTTCTTATTGTATAATATCAAAGGTGAATCTAATTGGATATTGAATTTCTCAAATAATATCATGTAGTTCACCCTGATTCTGTTTATTTTAAATGATAACATTATAAACTAACCTAATATATATATATAAATTGTCTAAGGAAAATGAATTTCAAATTACATTTCCGTATCCTCCTTTTTGAGATAATACAATTTCATCCCTCATGATAAAGGTTACAGGGTAAAAGTTCATAGGAATCAAATTTTACTCCTCGATTTTGTTGCTTTTTTCAAAGTAGATTCAATTTCAATTGAACTTTTCAGTAAATCTTATAATAATAAATGAGATGGTTAATTTGATTGTAGAATTTTTTTTCACATGAGAAAGTTTCAATTGCTAATGAATGAGTTTCACCATGATCATGATGATATTTTGTTTCATGTTTAGATTTTCATTATTTCAATTTGTTTTTCTATTTCTTTTTTTTTTACTCCAATGTCCAAACTTATTGATGGTCAATGAGGTTATTGTACTGATGCTGATTGTTTTTTTTTACCTCTTCACTATGTGTTACCTTTACTGACCAAGGTAAATGTTAAGGTCAAGGAATTGCATTTTAACATGAGTATGATGATGATGGTGATCATGATAAGATGAATGAGAATATATAAAAAAACGTATAATAGGAAATTCAGCATTTTCATGGTAGAATGAGGAAGATAAAGAATAAAGGAAGAGGATTTCCTGAGTAATCCCAGAAGATTTTGCAACTGACCAAAAGGATGGACAATATTATTATTATTATTATTATTATTTCTGTTATTTGTTACTGATTCTGATATTATCAGATACTCATCCTGACTGCAGGGAATGTGGAAACAAATGCTCATCATCAATATGAAGATATTAAATTAGATAAACATTTACCTACTAATCAGATAATTCTGGTAATATAACTCAGTCAGACATGATTCATTTCCCGCCCCCCATTTCCCTTTATCAGATAATCCAGTAAATTTTCATAATCTATGAGAATCAGATTCAACCGATTTCATCAATTCATTTTTAGGGTTAACCATGAATAACAATTATCATTATTATTATTTTAGTAAGTGAATAATCATCTTGATCATGATTCATTTAATTGTTTTTCCGCGTTTACCTTTAAGGTAAATGAATTATAATTCAATTCAGTTGTTGTAATCGTTTCAATCCTTATTTCATTTCCTGGTGATAATGTTCACAACAATAATACAATCATCATCATCATCATCATCACCATGATGACCTGAAAATAAATAAACTTTCAGCTTATATGCAATAAGATTGAAATTGAATCATCTTGAGCTTCATCATTTGAAATCAAACCTCAATAACTTCAGGTTACTTCATGATCACTTTCAGGGTGACATGGGGAGAAAACTCTGATTCAATCAGCCACATGATACCTGAAACCAGAATTGAATAACATGGTTGGTATTTTTTTACACCACCAAAGAGGTAAAATTGATACCTTTTTTTTCACACAATTTTTCATTCTCTTCACCCTGAAATCATGGTGATAGCTGAT